TATTACAAGGTAACAGTTACTTTGTATCTAAATGACAATGTATTACTACTTAGCAATATGACATCATGTATTACAAGGCACCAGTATGACAAATACTAAAAGAGCACTATATTAAAGCAACATGTTTTCATCACATACATTAATTTCATTAAAATGAATTTATCAACAATATATCAGAATTCTTAGGGTGAAAAATGATGTATGAAATTCTCTATTTTACACAAGAACATATAACATCCACACTTGCTTCTATCTATTTCTCTCCATTTGTAAATGCTCATACTCGATGCATAGTCACAATAGTGTAAACATGAAAAGCCTATATAAACATGTGGAATACATGTACTTGTGTTATATATGAAATATGAGTATTGATTTCTGATAAATATAATATATACAATCTGGACTACATTTATAGGATATAGGCAAGGCAGAAATTCATCTGAAAAAGCTGCTGCTGTTTTTAATAAGTCACGTGATTTGATTTAAAACCCATCAGCAGACAGCTAACACAACTAATATACATATTTATACACAACCTTACACACTATTCCACCCATAACATGTTCTTTTACACTCAAAACACACTATTCTAAACCGTAACACCCTAAGACTCGCTCTAAATCCTACTAACAAACACACTAACACACTCTAGTACACATCAAAACGCTCTATTGATAAATCATGAATGCTTAAGTACTAATATTTTAAAATGAAATCACTGACAAACCATTATGATATTAAAGGTAGCATTGATTATCTACCGGTAAATGGAAAGAAGGCTTGTCACTCTGATATGTTCTCAGGTCAGTAAGTACCGGTGACTTGTGGCCTGGCCCTGTATCGGGTGTGGCAACAGAACGCTAAGTCTGTTATTGTTGTTGTGGCCTAGGCCTGTATCAGGTAAGGCCAAAGGATGCTTGTTGTTGTGGCCTAGCCCTGTATCAGGTGAGGCCAAAGGACGCTTGTTGTTGTGGCCTAGCCCTGTATCAGGTGAGGCCAAAAGATGCTTGGTCTGTTATTGTTGTTGTTGTTGTGGCAGTTAACCTTGTATCAAGTCAGTCCAAAAAATGGTAATTATCATGGCTGTGGGCTAGCCTTGTATGAGGTAAGGCCATAGGACACTCTGTCTGTTATCAGTTTGGTTGTGGCCTACCCCTGTATGAGGTGAGACCATAGGACACTCTGATATCAGTTTGGTTGTGGCCTACCCCTGTATCAGGCGAGACCATAGGACACTCTGTCTGTTATCAGTTTGGTTGTGGCCTTCCCCTGTATGAGGTGAGACCATAGGACACTCTGATATCAGTTTGGTTGTGGCCTACCCCTGTATGAGGTGAGACCATAGGACACTCTGATATCAGTTTGGTTGTGGCCTCCCCCTGTATCAGGTGAGACCATAGGACACTCTGTTATTAGTTTGGTTGTGGCCTACCCCTGTATCAGGCGAGACCATTGGACACTTTGTCTGTTCTCAGTTTGGTTGTGGCCTACCACTTAATCAGGTGAGACCATAGGACACTTTGTCTGTTCTCAGTTTGGTTGTGGACTACCACTGTTGCAGGTAAGGCCTTAGGATGCTTCATCTGTAAGCATTATGGTTGTGGCCTGGTTTTGACATTGCCTTTGCATGATTGATAAAAGAGGTTGGTCATAACTGACCTTGACCCCTGGGTGTGGTTATCTCTGATCTTGTCCTCTGGATGTTATCACCTCTTGACCTTGTGTGTGACCTTGTTGCCCTGGTGAGGCTATAGGAAATGCCTGCTTTAGGACCCCATTGTTGCTCTGGTGAGGCTATAGGACATGCCTGCTTTAGGACCCCGTTGTTGCCCTGGTGAGGCTATAGAACAGGACTACCTGAGGACCCCATTGTTGCCCTGTTGAGGCTATAGGACATGACTGCTTTAGGACTGCATGTTTGCCCTGGTGAGGCTATAGGACATGACTGCTTTAGGACTGCATGGTTGCCCTGGTGAGTCTTAAGGACAGGCCTGCCTTAGGACCCGTAGTGTTTTCCCAACTGACAAGGCAGTTGTAGAATACTATTGATGCTAACCTCTCAGATCCACTGGTGTTCAGAAGTAAGACCTGGTGAGGCTATAGGACATGACTGCTTTAGGACCCAGTTGTTGCCCTGGTGAGGCTATAGAACAGGATTGCCTGAGGACTCCGTTGTTGCCCTGGTGTGGCTACAGGACATGACTGCTTTAGGACCCTGTTGTTGCTCTGGTGAGGCTATAGGACATGACTGCCTTAGGATCCCATTGTTGCCCTGGTGAGGCTACAGGACATGACTGCTTTAGGACCCTGTTGTTGCCCTGGTGAGGCTATAGGACATGACTGCTTTAGGACTGCATGGTTGCCCTGGTGAGTCTTAAGGACAGGCCTGCCTTAGGACCCGTAGTGTTTTCCCAACTGACAAGGCAGTTGTAGAATACTATTGATGCTAACCTCTCAGATCCACTGGTGTTCAGAAGTAAGACTCAGATATGTCAAAATGGCCATTGGCAGAATTGTGGAGGTTGAAGTGTGTTTGGGGGATTTGGGATTCCTGTGAGGAGTCAGAGGACAGTGAGGGATTCCTCCAAAGCTCAGGCTCATCCTGAAATGGTAGAAATATATACTATATCACAACATTACTATTATTTCTAAATTTTTATATCACGGCAAATCTCAATGATACAATATACACATTATCATTCCATCATAAAGATGTGGATAAAAATTGGTAAGATATCATGTTTTTGTGCCTAGCTGGAACATAAACATCAAACTCTACCATAGATTTTAAACAATATAGTGAACTGATTCCATAGTTGTCACAGGGACATCTAGTTAAAACAATACAGTGAACCAATTTTTAGTTGTCACAGGGACATCTATTTAAAACAATACAGTGAACCAATTTTTAGTTGTCACAGGGACATCTATTTAAAACAATACAGTGAACCAATTTT